CAGCAGCCATCTCAACATTATTAAAAATTAAAAATTTAATTTACATTTTTAAATTTAAATTTAATTCAATTTAAAAATATTTTAGCACCAGCTGCAGATAGGCAGGTTAAGCCGAGAGGTACTAGTTTTCCTTAACTTATCAAGTCATTCGTAAGTTTTTAAGACCCGGATTTAACATCATTTACCAATAAACTCATAGTCCCTATGATATGAGTATTTCCAGATAAGGCTGGGAACTTTACAGATTTAGAAAGTTTTATCTTCCACTTATAACTTTCCTAATGTCTTTCATCTCTTCTGACCTTTTTTAAACAAAAAACAAAATTTAATTGCAGGGAGGGAGAGCCAGAACAGCTTGAAGGCATTTTTCTGGCAGTAGCATTAGGATCTCTCTACCTGGAATCACTATATACTATACCAGTCATCATCCTGTTCTTAGACAACAACCACGTTCAATTTGACCTTGATTAGGATTGGCAAGCAGAACTCAGACATAGTTCCTTTGCCCAGTCACTACATATACTGTCTACTGTATGTGTGGATGAATTACCTTGCTGCTGTTCGTTTTAGACATTGGAAGAGGAGAGCCATGTTAGTCTATGGGAGTCAAAAATCTGAAGGAGCCTGGTATCACTTTTTCTGACTAACCAATTTTATTAAAAGACCTCAGCTTTTGTAAGCTGCAGCCACTCCGTGCATCTGAGCTGGTGCCTTTTAATAATGTTGTTAGTTGGAAAAAGTGCTACTCCTTCTGATTCTTGCTGTTGCTGTATCTCTAAACAGCTCAAAATGGTTGGTTTTGCTGCTAAATTTTGGCGTCTAATCCTGGGGATACTCCAGAACTGTAAATAATTTCTTCCAACTGACAATTGTCTTCTCAGTTTTTAAGTAAAGGTCTTTCCTAACCTTCATATCACAAGTCCATGAACAAAAAATAGAAAATGTTTAGAGATACCAGATGTTGAATCTGAAGCCTTCAACGCATACATGTACATTTTCCTCCTGATCTGTTAAAAGCTGTACACTGCAATCAGGCACTATATGACTTGATAACTTGTTTTGTACAAATAAAAACTGGGAAGAGTCACAACCCTGTTTAGATGCACTGGACTGTGATTGGTTGGGTCACGAATGAAGCTAAGCACAACAATAAAGAAGGCTGAAAAACTCTGTAATGAACATCAAATTCAGTACAATTTGATCATCAGTTACTAACTATATCACTAATATTTTCCCAATAGATCATCCACGTCTGTACAAATTTCATTCTGGATAAAAATACGGAACATAATATTTAAATTGTGTTTCTCCTCCATCAACATGTGATTATACAATCTCTCAATCAGTATCCCACAGAAACTTTTTTTAAACTTTGCTTGTGATTTTGTCTTGAGTTTGTTACTCTTCAACTCTGCATCATCATCATCATTATTTATTTAGTTTTGCAATTAAAACCAAGCATGAGCATTCCATATAACCCATGCAAAGTTTTGTACCTGGCAACTGAATCCCCACAAAAATGAGTCTGCATGGTTTACATTTAAACACACAAACAAAACACACAACAATGAACTGTAGTACTTACAAAAATTGCTTGCCCATCCATCTGACCCTGGCAGGGAAAAAAAAATAACTTCATAAGAAACAGCATGATTAAAAACGTGCTGATTTAACAATAAAGTATAAGAGCTTCTTTATTCATTTATTCAAAGTATATGCCATCTTAGTGCCAATTGCTCCCTTTATGATGCACTCAAATGAATGAAATCAACATACATTAGGCAGATCACTTAAACCTTCAATAGATTTTACTCTAGGATGTACAGCACTAATTTTCTTTAGAAAGGACATCCATCCATCCTTTCAAAAGAAAACACAGGTGCCCATTTATGCCATTTTAAGCCCCCTATAAAATCCACGCAGAACATATTAGATGAAGATCAAATCGAAGAAAGTCCCACAGCTATGAGACAGCCTAATGATAAGATTCAGACCCTTCGTTTGTCTAATCAGCATAACTGGTTTTATTAACAGGCACATAACAAGACCTTTATGACAAGTTACTAACAGTACTGTATATAAAAGAATAAAGTTTTCTTCAAGTCAAGCTTGACTTCAGGTGACTTCACAAATGCATCCATGTAGTTTTCTTGAGAACAATACAGAAATGGTTTGCCAGGGTGCCTTTTCATGTCCCAGTCTCACCTATAGCTCTGGTGGGTCTCCCATCCAAATATAAGAGGCTTCTTAGATCCACCAAGGTCAACTATAGATGAAGAGCAGTAAAAACTTCATCCCAGTCCCAGTGAGCCTATTAAAAATGAAGTAGCAGCCATCTGGAGTAGATCACTAGGAGCAAAGGGGACAAGGCCTCTATCCCATTTGCATGTCTCTCTCCTGGAGACTACTAGTTTTCTACAGCTAATAGCGTAGAATAATAACCACTGGTGATGTTGCATCCAATACTTTGGAACAGCAACCAAGCTTTGAACAGACTGAGCCATCCCTCTTTAACAGCACCTTGTATCGTAACAAATGTTATATTTAACTCCATCCCATGAAAGTTTCACCTACAGATTTCTACATGGCAAATTTTTTTGATGCACCCACAGGACTGCTCACTAAAAAGGAATCATTAATGTATCATTTTATTACAACCATGCATACTTTGCTCCAAATCCTTCTTCAGAGGTTCTGAAATTACATAAAAGAAACATATAATCTCAAATTATATATAAGATAGAAGATATACCTTATATTTAGGAAAGGTGAATTGTTTTATTCAATAATTTTTTTTGAAGTCATTTGATTCTATTGGTACATGGAGTGCATGCATAGTTTGTTACCGCTTTATGGCACTGCTGAATTTTGCTATTAGTACAGATATTCATTGGATTTTATATTGATTTTTAAAACAGTTCTACAATACATCTTCCAGTTGATCCCATTTCCATGTATGTTCCATTTATGTAACTTTGGAACCACTGAGGAAGGATCTGCATCTGAAATACGTAGCTCTGCAATAATTTTGAATAGCCCCTGGAGGGTTTCACAGTGTATTTGGTATTATTCCATCTTTCTTAATCTTCTCTCTTTTCCTTTTTTTTTTTGGCAAACCTAAATCTGAGCAGGAGGACACAGAGTACGAGACTGAGGCAAATACCTTCTCCTTCTGGCTTGAGGAGAAGAGAACAGAGCACCCAAACAAAACAGAAAAAAAAATAGAGGCCAAAAGAGGAAAACTGAGGATTGTGGTTCATTAGGAAATGAACCTAATGCAAACCTAGCTGCAAATTCACTTGCAGCCTTTTTTGAGATTTAAAAACATATCAACCCAAACTATTCTCTTGCAAGAGGAAAATCAGAGCTTCCTCTTTAGCACACAGAACTGTTCTCTTGTTTAAAAATGGCATAACTGCACTTTAAATAAGATCTTGCACATGGAAGTGCACTGATTGGTTCCACATGTCACAGCTCACTTTGAATGAAAGATGTCGCTGTTAAATGTTTCTCCTCCTGTACCCAGACTTCTCCTTAATTGAAACATCATGCTTAAGACAGGATGAAAACAGGCACATGTGTTTTTAGGCAGACAGCAATATTCCCTGAATTTCCATTTCTCAAACCCAAAATGGAGGAAACACTTTCAGCTGCGATTTCAAAGGCTTGCTGTACCCCCTTTGTTCTGAGAGGTTGGGTTGACTTTAACAGCTGGATGGTACCGAGGAATGCAACAGGTGCAGCTTTTCCTAATATAGAAAGGGAGGTCATGATAGGAAATGTTACACCTGCTGAACTTCTCCCTAGGCAGTAATGCAGGTATACTGCCAGGAGAAAAAAATAGCAAATCCACCTTGCATCTGCTGGTAATGAGATAGGTAAGATTTAATGTGACACACAGATTAAATACACTGTTACATTTGAATCTCCTAAATGATTTAGGCAACATCTCCAGGTTTAATTCAACTCCTGGTAACTTCATGACCGTGCCCTTGTAGCTTTCTTGGTAACAGTAGGGTAGGGCTACCAGATCTGGGCTGCAAAAGCATGAGCAACACTAGATGGCAGCGAGGAATGTCTGAGTCATTCTGTTGTCATCTGGAGTTTGCAATCTAAGTCAGGTAACCCCCACTTTTTTTTTTTTTTTTGGTGCCTTTGAGTCAGCACTGACTCTGGCAACTGCCTGGACTAGCCCCTGCAGTTTTCTTGGCAAGATTTTCAGAACTGCTTTGCCTTTGCCTTCTTTCTATAGCTGAGAGAGAGTGGCTGACTCAGGGTCACCCAGCTTTGTGCCTAAGGTGGGACTAGAACTCACAGTCTCTTGGTTTCTAGCCCAGTGCCTTAACCACTATACCAAACTAGTTCTCTCAAGTAGCCATAGCAATACAGAAATAATCTGCAATTGTTTTCTAACCCTGGGATTTCCTTGTGCCCTCCAAGTCGTAATCAGGTCTGCTGACCTTGCTAAACTTTTTGAAATCAACCACCAAGCTGGGTCCTCTAAAAGGTTTAGGACCACGATATATGAAAGGCATTTTCCCCTACATAAGCTTGCCAGGTGTCACTCTATGCCAGGCTTCCTAAACATATGCCTCCAGAATAATAGAACTACAAGTCCCATTATTATCAATGCTGACATGAACTCTGGGAGTTGGCGTCTACATTTGGATGACAGGAATTTGGGAAAGACTGGAATAGGTTCTGGTACAATTTGGATGAAAATCCAATATGCTTCAAGTTGGCTATGTTGACAAAACGCATTGAATCATGCTATTCATTCATTCATTCATTCATTCATTCATTCATTCATTCATTCATTCATCTGC